TTGCTTAGAAGGGCCGAATGTCAGACGGGCCTGCGTGCCCAATTTGTAACCCTTTGAAAATAAAGTTTGTTTGTTCGTTCGTTCGTACATGACAAATCTTCACTTGCAATAAAGTTTGCACCCTACGGTCAGTGAGCGGAAGCCTTTCAACATGGTCACTTGTAGCACGCTCGCCTGCCGATCAGAAGGCCGTGGGTTTGGGTCCTGGCGGAACCAACCGGGCTTTCTTTTAAAAAAAAACAACCTAGGCTCCCATGTTCACCCAGCCTTGAATGGGTACCAGGTGTGGTCCTGGGAAGTAAAGGCGGCTGGTGTAATGTTGACCACATCACCCACCAAATGCTGATTGGTCTACGAAATATCTGTCTAGCCCTATATGCCCAATAGGCCTCAAGGCGTGGAAAAGGGACCTTTACTTTTACTTGTAACACGAAGCCTAGCATTACCTACACACAGTGTCAGTCGCTAGATATAAGGTACTCTTTTAACTCTTTCAGTCTCAGAGGGTTTAGCATCAGACTCCCAAGGGGTAGTACAAAGAGCTATAATATCGACGCATCTTGCGATTATTAGGCTTCTGTGTAGGAACTTATGAGAGTAGGATGCGTTCCTTGGGACCGAAAGATTTGTTCTCGTCGACTTGGACTTCTAGTAATTCCCCGTGGTCTCTGGGTAGTAAAATCAAACGCCCGTGTACTTTGGCAGTTGGAAATCGAAAACAATAGCCTAACGGTGCTGCCTGGGCAAAATTTGGGGTTAAAAATCTACCCAAAGTATTTCAAGATTCCCGCCGGTGCTACAGAGCATATGCACTGTGCGGAGGTTCTTCGGAGTCAGACTTGAGAGAAGAAGAATGTATATCCATTTCATCCTTCCTCTGAGTGTTGAGCGTCGGCCAGATCCCCTGGTAACTCTTCGCAGAGTAGCAGAACAAGAAGAAGAAGAAGAAGAGGAAGAAGAAGAAGAAGAGGAAGAAGAAGAAGAAAAAGAAGAAGAAGAAGAAGAAGAAGAAGAAGAAGAAGAAGAAGAAGAAGAAGAAGAAGAAGAAGAAGAAGAAGAAGAAGAAGAAGAAGAAGAAGAAGAAGAAGAAGAAGAAGAAGAAGAAGAAGAAGACTAGCTAAAGATGTTGCGAAAATATCATCGTTATAATTATCTTGTTGTGCCGCTTATGCATCACAATGTACCCCAGTTGTCCTTTTCCCACGCTTGTCTCTTGTCGATGATAAGTTGTACATCTAGTTCTAATCCAATCCGGGCTTTTGAAATCGCGTGACCCTTAACCCGCAGCTATGTGGAGCTCGTTTACGTTAGCGAAAACATTTAGATACTCAATCACGTGACAACGTGTATTTTTAAGGGTAAAAGCTGATCTATAAAAATCGACATCATAGGATTGGCGACACTCAAATAAACGCTCCACCCTTATCTTCAGCAGCAAGCATAGAGTTCAAGTTCCGATGGTACCAGTAACTGTCTGTTTGTATATCCGTCTCGTCTTTTTCTTGAGTGTTGAGCGTCAGGCAGATCCCTGGTAACTCCTTACAGCACCATTCTTCTCGGACCGCAATCATCTATTTGTGTCTTCGTCCTGTTCACTTGCTCTCAAAGACACCTGACAACATCTAGCTTGTCATACATCAATGGCACACATGTCTTACTGTGTCTACAGCTTGCGCCATCAATGCCTCTCTCTTTTCAGTCTATGACTATTAGCTCTACTTAGGGCTTCATACAGTAGGTGCTTCGTGTCTGCAGCTGGTCTAGGATTATAACTTTGGTTGCAGAACTTTGAGCCTATCTGCAATAGCAGGCACTACAAGCATATATCACAAACATACTACCGGAGTTTCTTGGGATAGTAATGTGGTAGTTTTCGCTTGATTTCCACTGACATTTTAAAAGATGCGAACATCAAGAAAGATTGGCTAATGAACAGCATCCTGTCTCGGAAGCTCAAATTTGTTGGCTATAACAAGCGTCATTACGGATTGGAACAAATAATAGCAGAAGGCATAGTACCAGGAAGAAGGGGCAGGGCCGACCGACACGAAGATGGGCACAAGATATAAGTGACTTCTTGAAAATGAAAGTGCACGCATGAGGCGGGAGAGCTGGCGAGAGACCGAGTTTCTTTCAAGTAGACCGTAATGAGAGCGAAGTTCTGCAAACGACCTGCTTCATGATGATGACTACCAGAGTATCGTTGGCACATCAAAGAATTACCCGCATGGCTTCGTTCTGAATGCTCTCAGGTTTCACCAGCTGACTCTTTGATATGGTGAGCATTTTACAAATCCATAATCTATCACCGACAGGATCACACGCTGGAACGTTGTGAACAAAATTCTTTGGCTTAATCAACATAATCCCTGAAGGATAGGCTTTTATCAAAAATGATACCCAGGTACCTCAGTTTGCTTTTTTTTTTTTTTTTTTTTATGTTTCTGTCATTAATTTTGAAGTTGAAACATTAGCTCATACAAATCTATTGTCCAGAAATCACCATAAAATAGCCGCCTTTTCTGAGTTAATGACAGCACCCATCTCTGCACACCAGTCAGTCAAATTGTTACAGTTTCCTGCAGCTTCTGGGCTGTCTGTTTCCTATTGCTTCTTAGCCTAATGCAAGAACATCCCCTGCAAAAGTCAATATCCTTCCAACAAACACCTGGTGCTTCAAGTTCTGCAGTCCTGCTTGTAAACACATTGAAAAGTACTGTTAAAAGTGCAGAACCCTGGGGTTCTCCAGTAGCTTTATTTCACGGTTCTGGGGTCCATGCTCCCAGGCTAAGAGAGACCATGCGCGAATGCAGGACATCTGCTGTCCAGTTCATCAGCCATGGACAAACCCCATTCTCCGTGAGCGCAAATATCAAAATACCATATCTGACTCTATTGTAGACATCCTCAATGCCGCTGCCGTTTCCTGTCCACTTTGAAACCTCTAACCACGGCCTACTCTATTTACAGAAGAACCTGCTCTAATAAACATAAAAAGCGAAAGTAGCTGTACTTTGAAACCTCTAACCACTACCTACTCTATTTACAGAAGAACCTGCTCTAATAAACATAAAAAGCGAAAGTAGCTGTACTTTGAAACCTCTAACCACGGCCTACTCTATTTACAGAAGAACCTGCTCTAATAAACATAAAAAGCGAAAGTAGCTGTACTTTGAAAAAGCCACATCACCAAGTCTCGCTGACATTCTAGTTAAAAAAGGATTCTATGTGATCTACCGTCGTTCATACAGGCTACGTCTGCTTCTACCATAGCCTCTGCTAAAGAATTTCCTTGTCTATTTGTCCCAGTCATGTCCCTGTAATGCTGATTAGCAATTTGTATACATGGTGCATCCCGCATTGCGTTTATGAATAAAATACAGTCCAAACTGTACCAGCTTGTTACAAAATATAACTTAAAATAATAACTTTTCTTAAACAAACATTAAATGATATATATATTCCTTTAACAAATAACAATCTTTATTGGCAACTTATAGTAAACGGTAAAGAACCCTTTTCCATGCCTACAGGCGTATTGGGCATCTAGGGTTAGGCTTACATTTTATACTCATGAGCACTTGGTACGTCATACCGACGACGCCATGCCGGCCGCCTGTCAGATTTGCTAAGCCATGTTTTGTTCCTTTTACTAGTGTCCGTGTGTTCTTTTGCAGCGCTGTGCCGAAAGTAGAGTTGTCTGCTAAACGTCTCAGCTTGTAAGTTAACCACCCCCGTGTGGGTTCCGGGGCCCCATTGTGGTGAAAACAAGAATAGACCCACTGCCTCCCCAAAAGCATGTCGTAAGAGTCGACTAATTGGGGAGCTTCCTTTGAAGTCGGAGTGCATCTGCCGGAGAGGCAAGGAACCGACAGTCTGTATTCAAGAGAATGAGATCTGTAAAACTGATGCACACGCAACACTCAGGTTCTTGAGCAGGACTGCAGTTCAGTAGTGGACGAGCAACCAGAACCTTCCGCCAGAGTGTACAGCTGGTGAACGCGAAGAAAAAAGAAGAAAAAAAAGTAAGTTAACCAAAAGTTAACCAAATAAGTTGCACGAAAAAGAGAGTGGTTATCCGCCCTAAAGCCACCGCTGCTTGAATTTTGAATATATAAACTCTCTTAAGATGATAACTTTTGTAGCCCTCGGGGCATTTTGAAGAGTCCCAGTTTATTAATTTTTTTTTTGGTCCATATCTAGTCAATAACCTTTGTCTGTACAACTGTTGACGAATAGTGCCTAGATTTTACATGGTTTTAGGAGCTGTTCAAAATTCACGCACTGGGCCAGGGAGTCAGTCTAGGTTGTGAACGATGAGTTTAGACAGCCATCTATGTTCCACATTTAATATATGTATATATTTGTGCGGACGCTTATCTCTTACATATACAAAGCCAAAACGGCGCGGTTAATATCAAGTCTAAGTTTTACATGCCGATACGAAAGAAGTCAAAATCTATTTTTTAAAATCCCCATAATTTTCAGGGTGCAGTCTTGAAGAATAAACTAAACTGAAACATAAACTTTAAAATTTATGTTTGTATATGTGCGTACAAATGTGTTAAAAAAAAGCCATTTGATCTCGATAAATTATTTTTAAATTGCAGTTAATGTTTCATATGAGTTTCAGCTGTTGTTAAAACATCACTCTTTATTCAAAGTACAAATGCATATTAAAACTAAAATGCTGCGTGGTCGTTATGAAAACACGCACTGTTTCAGTGGCTGACGGTTTTCGAAGAGTTAAGGTCGATCAAATACGCACCATTTCAGGTGACCAGCTAAGAGTTAATAAAGCGATTCTGTGAGACTCGATACTGATATAATCGGGCAGTTTCCCGCCTTGCGCCACACGCCTGCTGCAGGAAACTTACACCAGGTTTGTGTCGACAGGCACCCACTGTTCCACTGATTTCCACCAACAACACGCTGTAACATCCTTCTACTGCTGCTTCGTTTTAGAATAAGACATCTACCTCCAGTGGAACACTTTTACCATGTGGATTCAGGTCCGTTTGATCAGCGGCAGCAAAACTGTTCGCATCGACAACCTCAGCAAATTGACTAAGGTAGAGGAGTTGAGGAAGCGACTTGTGGAGCATTTCCAAGCTGATGCAGACCAGCAAAGACTTTTCTTCCGCGGGAAGCAGGTATTTAAATCATTTCTTAGCTCACCGAAAGTACATAATAGTTGCAGCGTCAGTTTGTTTCAACACACACAGAGTTGAAAAGTCAAAACAGATTAGGACAACACGTTGTAGTTGTGAAGCAAGTGTACTCGGTGCACTGTACACTGTAATGTCACTAATAATGTCAGTGTGGTGTTGTTAGTCAAATCAGGTTCTGTCTGCATTATTTATTAGTATTTATTAGCGCCAAACTCCAAACTTTGGTCTGTTCTGTAATTTATTTTTTATTAGAACGGTTCTAAAAACAAACTTTAAGGGGATATTTGTGAAGTTTTGTTATTTTTGTAAGTCTATCTATAAATTACAATTGAATTACAGTGTAACTGTATGTCTATGTTACGTACTGTAGTAGTAGTACATTGTAAATTCTTGATAAATCATTGTCATTTGCTGTGCTAATAATAATTTACTTGGCTACCAGAAATAGAACACACAACTCAGACTCAAAGAATATCTTATATCACTAGTTAAAGTTAGGAAGCCCTAGGAAACTGAAATCACAATTGCAAGGAAAGTTTATAAATATAATCATACATTAGTGAAGAAGGATATGAATGGCATATTTCTTCCGTCTTTCCAGACAGTAATATTACAGTATAACTGATTTTGTGCTATATGAAGGTGGAAAGCATGCAAATCTCAGCCTATCTTTAGGCCCTATGACCATGGCTAGTGTGACTAGTAATATCTTCCTCACTGATGATACCAGGTTGTAGTCCAGTGTCGCGGTTTTGTCATCTCAGTGATACCAGGTTGTAGCCCAGTGCATCTCACTGATACTAGGTTGTCGCCCAGTGTTGTGGTTTTGTCGTCTCACTGATACAAGGTTGTAGTCCAGTGTCGTGGTTTTGTCATCTCACTGATACCATGTTGTCGCCCAGTGTTGTGGTTTTGTCGTCTCACTGATACAAGGTTGTAGTCCAGTGTTATGGTTTTGTCATCTCATTGATACTAGATTGTAGCCCAGTGTCATGGTTTTGTCATCTCACTGAAATCAGCTTGTAACTTGTAGCCAAGTGTTGTGGTTTTGTCATATTATTGATACCAGGTTGTAGCCCATTGTCAGGGCTTTGTCATCTCACTGATACCAGGTTGTAGCCCAGTGTCGGGGCTTTGTCATCTCACTGATACCAGGTTGTAGCCTAGTGTCGTGGTTTTGTCATCTAGCGTGGGGCTAGCTGGTATTTGACAGCTTTTGCCTTCTGTCTCTCTGTTGAGTGTGTGGGGCTAGCTGGTAGGTCAAAGCTTTTGCCTTCTATACTCAGTCTTCTATCTCTCTGTCGAGTCTGCAAGGATGTATGATTGTTGTGTAGTTAGTTCATATTGAGAAAGGCCCCGTCAAAAAATTTATTTATGTGTTCTGCAGTCACCCCTGTTTTCACCATATGTTGGTTGTGGGGGGGGGGGGGGGGGGGGGGGGGGGGGGATTCTACCATCTCCCCATCTTTCCCCTAATGTGATGTGGAACCCATGTCAGGGGAGATATATGTGTAACTTGGTCTTAGTTTATGAGATATGAAAAATACAATGAATATTATAATATGAATGATGTAATTGGCAGTTGTATTGAAATAATAGTGTGAATGAATATAAGAAAGAAGTATAAACAGAATAATTTCACTGGAGAAGATGAGAATCATTTAAAATTCAAGAAGGTAATGTGCCATGAGGTAATTATAGCATTGTTTGGATGGGTTTAACTTTCTTGCTTCCGATTGGCATATAGTTAAGACAGTCAGGACAGCAAGCAGACAGTTAGTTAAAACCTGGATGTCTTCACCAAAAAGCCTGGCTGCAACATGATTGTATGCCTGATTCCAAACTGGTGACTGTAGATGTGAAACTATAATTCCCCCACTAATCAACTTAATTTGTCTGCTGTTACATTAACCTCTTCTTCTTCTTAGCATTCACGGACTGTCAACTCTGACAGAAAGTTCTGGTTGTTTGCCCACTCCTGGACTTTGGTCATGATCCAGAACTTGAGTTTTGCATACTCATCTGCTTTACAGATCTGGCTTATTTGTATGCAGACTGTTGGTTCCTTACCTCTCAAGCAGATATACTCCTACTCAGAAGGAAACACCCCCTAATTAGTTGCCTTCCGTGACATGTTTGTTGGGGAGGGGCCAGTGGGTCTATTGCTGCTTATTCTCCAAAATGGAGCCCCAGGGCCCATACTGACCTATTTAACTGTTTGGCTGACGAGGTCTGTATTATGTTACACAGACCAGTTTAGGTATATGCTTATATAATATGAAAATCAATGTTCATATTGTTTCAGATGGAAGATGGACACACATTGTTTGATTACGATGTGGGTCTTAATGATCTGATCCAGATCCTCATTAGAAAAAATATACCACAGCCATTGTCAGACAGTGATGACAAGGGGAAGGATGATATAGCAGATGATGGCAGCACTTCAGACAAAGAGAATAAAGAGGTTAGTCACAGCCACCTCAATAAATTACTGAAACTCAGTTTGTGAAACCTCTGTTGAGTATGTCTTCTACTTTATGAGAATGGTACATTCAACACATGTGCGTGCACACACACAAAACCCAGTTTATTGGCCACAGTAGTTGTAAGGCACCCCTTCTCTATATGTTTTGCTGACACAACATTGCTGGTGTGCCATTAGAAACTCAGAATGTGGGTCACTGTGCAGTGCAATCCACAAATATTGGTCCTTTTGTGGTAGACTATCTTTGCTTTGTATTTACCAATGGTAGCTTCAGTAGAAATCAGAAGAGGACTGGACATAGAGGAGCAGAGGTTCAACAGCTTAAAAAGCTTACGGCACAGCATCAAACAGTTACAGTAAAAACTTTAAAAACATTTTTTTTAGCACTGAACTTTCAAATTACTGTTAAAGAAAAGTTCTCACATTCTGCAGCTTCTGAATATTGAAGTAAATGGACTTATAAACAGCTTGTTTCAGGTATGGAAATTCTTCTATCAAATCAAACATTGCAGACCTGCCTTACATGTAACCCTTGCAACTACTCATCTTTTGGGCAGCTGTTGCATTTGTTGAATTTTGTGTATAATGCGTTGCTATATTCGTATGAGAACTGTATACTAAAATAACTGCCTAGCATGACACGTATCACCAGCCTGAAGGTAAAGGTCAGAGACGATTGACTTCATTGCGCCGGGTTTTATCACATATGGCTCAGTCTCTCTGTGCAGAACAGCTGGCTACCTGCTGAGAGCGGCAAACAGAGCACGACCTCTAGTTCTGGCAAGGATCCCCAAGGATCTCCGTAAAAATGGCACTTTTGAACTGGATGGCGTCACAGTGAAACCGACCCCCGACCTTCAGAGTGTAAGGATCTCCGTAAAAATGGCACTTTTGAACTGGATGGCGTCACAGTGAAACCAACCCCCGACCTTCAGAGTGTGGGGCAGATGGCTTGACAACTTTGCCATGGAGACCTCCAGCCAGCCTGAATGTGGAAGGAAATATTAGACACACCTTGAGTATGAAAATACGTATGGCAAGAGACATTTTCAAGTGATGGGAGCACTGTTCTGCAAAGGACCTGTTCTATTGATAATGCATTATATACCCCAAATGTAGATCACTGTAACACATAGTTGTGTGTGTCTGTTCTATATAATATAGATATATATATATCTCTGGCTTTGTCTCTGTGTTGAAGATTTTTTGGTCACTGTTTACAGTATTGCTCACGTCTAATGTTACACTCATTTCTGCCACTCTTAAGCAAGTGTAGAGTATTAAGCAGAAAACATCTGCTTATATTTCTCAGTACAGTCTGCATAAATGACTACAAATACTTATAATCATTTTATTTCTTTTTGTCTTTGACATGCTAGTTTGTATTTTAATGAACAAATGAGTAATTATTTTGTAATCTTTGATTTGTCTTGTGTTGATTAGTTCCATTATAATATTTTCAAGAATTGTTTTGCATGTCTGGCAGCCAGGTGACAAAGAGTTGCCCACTTCCAACGAGCAAGATGAACTTGGCAGCAGTGTCTATAAGGTATGTTTTAAAACTCAGCTAATATTTGAGATGGCGGAGTCAAGCAATTCCAGTTTTACTTTTTTTGTTCTTAATGTTTTTTTTTTTAAATCGCTGATTGCTGTCATAAGAGTTATCACCCCTCTTTTGTTTGGGTTATAGATCATGTTTGACTTTTCTTATTCATAGTGGACACTGACTGGACAGGTCGTAAGTGATAAAGTGTAATAAAAGTATATCAATGATATCTCATCTTCTCGTACCACCTGTGTCTACTTAGTGTCAATCATGTCTTCAGTAAGAACAAACCCCTAGAAACCAGCTTAGACACAGAGGAGACAATAACCCACTAGCAAAGAACTTTCTTATTCATTTATACATTCTCATTGTGTCTTCAAGCCGACCCAGTAAGGACCTATATGTTAACTCTTTTCCCAAGAAAAGATTTGTTTCGCTTGTCTTATTTTCTAATTTTGGTAAGTTCTTCTTCTTCGCATTCACCAGCTGCAGACTCTGGCAGAAAGTTCTGGTTGTCCATCCACCTCTGGACTGTGTTGCGTGTGCATCCGTTTTACAGATCTGACTCATTTGTATGCAGACTGCTGGTTTCTTGCCACTCAGGCAGATGCACTCCGACTTTGAAGAAAACTCCCAATTAGTCGACTCTTACAACATGCTTTTGTCTAGGCAGTGGGTCTATTATTGTTTTCCTTATAACGGCCCCGGAACCCACATGGGGAAATTTTGGTAAGGATATTTAGTATGGAGAGGAGGGTTTCAAATGTGCAATATGTCACCACTGACGCCAAGGTTGTTTCTAATGTGTCTATGGATTGGGAACACCACTGACGCCAAGGTTGTTTCTAATGTGTCTGTGGATTGGGAACACCACTGACGCCAAGGTTTTTTCAAATGTGTAATATGTCTGTGGATTGGGAACACCACTGACGCATAGGTTGTTTCTAATGTGTAATATTTCTGTAGTTTGAGAACACCACTGACGCCAAGGTTGTTTCTAATGTGTAATATGTCTGGATTGGGAACACCACTGACGCCAAGGTTGTTTCTAATGTGTAATGTGTCTGTGGATTCGGAACACCACTGACGCCAAGGTTGTTTCTAATGTGTAATGTGTCTGTGGATTCGGAACACCACTGACGCCAAGGTTGTTTTTAATGTGTAACATGTCTATGGATTGGGAACACCACTGACGCCAAGGTTGTTTCTAATGTGTCTGTGGATTGGGAACACCACTGACGCCAAGGTTGTTTCTAATGTTTAATATGTCTATGGATTGGGAACACAACTGACGCCAAGGTTGTTTCTAATGTGTCTGTGGATTGGGAACACCACTGACGCCAAGGTTGTTTCTAATATGTCTGTGGATTGGGAACACCACTGACGCCAAGGTTGTTTCTAATGTGTCTATGGATTGGGAACACCACTGACGCCAAGGTTGTTTCTAATGTGTCTGTGGATTGGGAACACCACTGACGCCAAGGTTGTTTCTAATATGTCTATGGATTGGGAACACCACTGACGCCAAGGATGTTTTCCATTAATTAAACAACAAAAAAACGACCATGACTGCCTGTATTTACCACTTTTATATTATAAAGTGGGGAATGCTTGAGGATTTAGGGCTGCACAGCTGGTGTTGTTTCCTAGGACTGCATGTTAGGATTTTTTTATCTGTGTACACCTCACAAGAAAACAGCACAGCCTTACAGAGGATTTGAATCTGGGTCTCCGGCATGAGAGCGCAGCATTCTTAGCCCTTCGGCCACCCTCTCCTCTTTTGATGACAACCCTGAAACATTAGCTAAATTGTTTGTAATTTGTGAAATATTTCTGTAGATTGGAGACATAATTGATGCCAGAGATGTTAGCATGGGTGCATGGTTCGAAGCCAGGATACTAACAGTTGAGCCAGGTATTGACTCTGAGATTGAGGCCAGACTTGCAGATAGTCAGATGGACACTTCTACAGCAGCAACAGAGCATGAGGATAGACAGAATAGTTTTGTCAGTGAACAGCCACCTCCACCTTTAGACTGTGGGTCTCCTGATGGATACACATACCACGTTTCCTTTGAAAAGTAAGTTGCAACATCTGTATTTGTTTTTTATAAACAGTTATTGCAGCAGCTTGCTGGGAGTCTGATGTTAATGTGATATATACTCTTTTACTAATTTGTTTAGGCGACCTGTTCTTTTCCTCGCTATGCTAGGTGGGGTGTCACAGATCTCTGAAATATTAAAATATACATCTAAGAAATATTGACTGCTTCTTCTTCTTTTTTTTTTTCTTCTTCTTCGATCCTTCTGTCAGAAAATGTATACTGGTTGCCTTGATGAAAGCTATCATACAGTCTGTATCTCTCTTTGTACTAAATAGCTTTGTTTTCACGGAGGATGAAACAAGTCAGATTGCTTCTCTGTCTGAATTCAAGACAGCCTTTTCTTGCAACATCCTTATTTCTGTTACAAACCTTTATGTTAGTACAACTTTTGCTGCACCACTTGGGCCACATCTGACAGTTTGAATCTCTCTACTTTGAGCAGTCCTGAAGGCTGTGGCCTTAATTGTTAACTTTGAATGTTATCAGTGTGGGAGACTAAGACGACTGTTTGAATTCAAAAACTAACATTGCATGTGAAATTATAGTTTTCTAGTTGAACCTTCTTGTTCAGGCAGTTAAAGAAACTCCTCGGTAATATTGATGGTCTCACCGGTCTGTGCCTGAATCACACATGAAACACTATAGGTAGTGTTGTGTCAGGTGTTCTCATTTTTATCTTTAGCTTATTCTGATCAACCTGTATCTTCAGCCCAGCTACCAAGGTGGCATCCACATTTTTATCTGAACCATTGTGTAAGTACCACACTTTTTTTTTGTTCTTCAGCTTTGCGCTCTTTGACCACATCTGATGGTTTGAAACTTGATAAACTGGGCAGTGCTGAAGGTTGTGTCCAGGACACCGTTGACAGTTTAAGTGGCCAGTTCTCAACTGACAGATGACATATTGCTTTTGAAGGTGGTTTGCTGTCCAGGTCTATGTTTATTTCACTGGCAAGTATGGTGGCTGCAGGTGATAGTGCTTGCTTCTTGCTATGGCAGAAGGTAGCTGAATTAGTTCATTCTGCTGTTAATTTTTGATCTCATCAAAAGTCATTTCAAGTTAGTATTGGTCACTGGAGCTGTATACAGTGTAGCTAAAGATCTTGCGACAGCATAAAATACCTTAACATATTTCTCTTTTTTTTTTTTTTTTTTTTTTTAAGGTACCCAGAAGATGTTCTGAAAGTGTTAAGCACAGAAATCCGGCCGCGGGCACGTACATTAATCAGATTTGCTGATGTGGAGATAGGCCAGCATGTTATGGCCAACTACAACTGTGAAGAGCCTGAAACACGAGGATTCTGGTATGACTGTGTTGTGACTGGCAAGAAAGATACACGGACTGTGAAGGAACTTACTGCTACAGTCTACATTGGGTATGTGAACATTATGTTTTATATCTTTTGATTGACGACTGGTATTTAACTCTTTAAAATCATAGCATTGTTTTTTTTTTTATTTTACTTTTTAAAGTGTACAATGATTGTTTGGTCAGATTACTTTTATTTTCTGTCCATTATCTCTCAATGGAGCATAGGCTGTCCGCCAGCTCATACTACATAATCCTATCCTTCATACTGCATCTTACCCCATGCCCTTCCATTTCACTTAGTCTGTCATTCTCTTTCCCGTGTACTTCCTGGTCTTTATCTCATAATTTTTCTTGGTACAAAGTATTGTTTCCCTTGACCGGTTATGCATATATTTTCTTTGGCCACATATGACACCAAAGGCCCTGAATTTATATTTGTTCTATATCAAGCTTATCTCTCTCCCCCCCCCCCCCCAATTCAGTTGGCTTCTGGATTAAACAAGCCTAAGATTGGGGTGCGAGCTGCATGTCCTGGGAAGTAAAGGTGACCGGCATACTGTTAACCACCTCACCCACTGAGTACTGGTTGATCTTTAAAATATAGGTCTGGCACTATATGTTGAATACACTCAGGGTGTGGAGAAGGGTCCCTAGACTTGACTCATATATGGCATGTATAGTGATTGCCCGTACCTTCCCAGATTAATCTCTGATACTTGACCATGGTGATTTTTAGGGACCAGTATTGCTGTAACGGGATTGAATTATAGGTCCACTTTGTTAGTTTATGCATGTATTACTTGTTGCCAAGACTGCATGAAATGTGAACATTCAAGTATTATAGTACATCTGCACCTCAGAGAGAGATAGAATAAGCAAAATACAATGTATTGTAATCTTCTGCAGAGCTGCGCTGACTCCACTCAGCAACTGCCGTCTGATCTTCACACGAGAGTTGTTTGGTATTGAAGAGGCTGGCACCCAGCTGACCGAGGAGGGTATTGCTGCTGACCCAAGTTCTAATGTTGGGGCCCGTAAGTTTCTTTTGCATGGTTGTTAAACTTCTGGCAGGCTGTGAATTTTCACAAGCAAGATGCATTCACATTAGTTTGTCTGATGGCTTACATTTCTTCTTAGTGGTCATGAGCTGGAAACTTTGGTGGAAAGTTCTGGCTGTTGAAAACTTTGATGGAAAGTTCTGGTTATTGTAAACTTTGGTGAGTAAATCTGGCTGTTGTAAACTTTGATGGAAAGTTCTGGTTGATGTAAACTTTGATGGAAAGTTCTGGTTGTTGTAAACTGTGATGGAAAGTTTTGGTTGTTGTAAACTTTGATGGAAAGTTCTGGTTGTTGTAAACTGTGGTGGAAAATTCTGGTTGTTGTAAACTTTGGTGGAAAGTTCTGGTTGTTGTAAACTGTGATGGAAAGTTCTGGTTGTTGTAAACTGTGATGGAAAGTTCTGGTTGTTGTAAACTTTGGTTGAAAGTTCTGGTTTTTGTAAACTTTGGTTGAAAGTTCTGGTTGTTGTAAACTTTGGTGGAAAGTTCTGGTTGTTGTAAACTTTGATGGAAAGTTCTGGTTGTTGTAAACTTTGTTGGAAAGTTCTGGTTGTTGTAAACTTTGATGGAAAATTGTGGTTGTTGTAAACTTTGATGGAAAGTTGTGGTTGTTGTAAACTTTGATGGAAAGTTGTGGTTGTTGTAAACTTTGCTAGAAATTTCTGGTTGTTGTAAACTTTGATGGAAAGTTCTGGTTGTCTTCTATTTCTGGACTTTAAGTTTTGCATGCTCATCCGTTTAACAGATCTGGTTTCTTTGTATGTAGACTGTTGGTTCCTCACCTCTAAGGCAGAGGAATTAAGACTGAGAAAGAAAAACCCCTTAATTAGTTACTATTTACGACATCTTTGTGGGTTATAGATAAGAAAAGGATCACGCTCCCTCTCCCCCCTGTGAGCCTTGGAACCTCTCAGGTGGGAGTTGATGTATTTAGAGTTTGTGACATTTTCTGTATTCATTATTGTTGTTGATTGTCTAAATAAAGAAGCTCAACACAAGGTGTTTTAATCACTGTCTCTGTTACCCTTTACCTTACAGGTCAGAGCAAAGCGGAGTGTGATAAATGTGATGATAACCCAAAGAAGAAATGCAAGCATTGTGGATGTGTAGTTTGTGGGGACAAAAAAGATCCAGATAAAACAATCTTGTGTGATGAATGCAACCAGGCCTACCACTTGTACTGCTTGAATCCACCTTTGAGCACTGTCCCACAGGAGGATGAGTGGTAAGTCCAGTCAGCAATTGTACTGTGTGAATCCAGTGTTTTACAGAGTTTACAGAATAATATTTCTATACTCTTTTTTAAAATTATTTTTTTAAAATTTAATACATGAATGAATGTTTGGCATGTACAGCATTATTTTTGTTTCTGCTGCAGCCCTTGGTAAACTTTAGAAAAGTTCAGCCATCATTTATTCTTCTTTGCCTTGGCCATAAATTGAAAGGTTACATCCATTTTTACAGTTAGCTACCTCATTGGAATTCTGCAGCTTATACAAACTGTAATGTTTCAGAAATAGAATCAGTATATAACATCAGCTCTTTGTTTATAGTCATTAACTGCTGCATTAAAAACGACAGTGGCAAAATTATTTATATGAATTTATCAACCACATAGGTGTATAGTTTTAGCGGAGGCCAACTCTTTTGTTGTTGTGTTACCAGAGCCATTTAGAGAAGCCCAAAAAAATGCAACAATGCAGCCTAATCAATGTTAAAGGAGGTGACTAAGAGTAGGGTAGGCTAAATCCTTTCATACAACACTATAGCCACACAGAAACCAACAGACTGAATGGGTCAAATACAGAAACAAACAATATTAGGACAGCCAAGATGGGAGGAGACTATTCTTATTGAGGAACTATGGAAAGTCCAGAGAAAACTAACAAGAATGCTCATCACCTAGAAATATGTTTAGAGTTTGCTTCTGGAAAATTGGAACTAACAAAGCACTCCAGTAAACACATGGAGATGACAGTGAAGTAGAAACACAAAATAGGGAGGACATAGGGTAAGATATGCATAATGGCAAAAGATAGGGACATGGCCATAAAGTGAAGAAGAAGGAGCATTATGAAAAATCCTTATTATGGCTGTAATTCATGGGCCTATTCACAGATTGTGATAACAGGAAGTTTCCACAATTTAATTACCGCTCATTTGTACTGTCTGTTTGACCTGTAGGTACTGTCCTGAATGTAAAAATGATGAAACAGCCATTGTCAGGATTGGGGAGAAATTAAAGGTCAACAAAAAGAAAGCTAAAATGGCATCTGCCAACAGCAATAGTAGTCGAGATTGGGGCAAGGTGAGTTCAACATCTTTATGGCAGTAGATGTACGTACTTCTTTATGTATTATAAATTAGATTGTCTGGGCGATGGATCTGTTTATAAGTGAAAACTTGCATTGTCCAGTCTGTTTATACACTGTAACCCATTTAAGGTGACCCTCTATGTGGCAAACTTCTTTTGTGAAGGATTTTTCTTGCTTGAATTCTTATAAGGATAAGAGGAATTTCTGATAAAAAAAACCATTGTTTGTGTCCCTGGTGAGTTCTTCCCTAATCAGGTCTGCACTGTATAAACGTATTCACACAAGTACATTGTGATCAGCATATGAAAGTGACAAGTAATCACCTGGTGGGTCACATGAGTAGTAGTGGGTCTTTGAAAGAGAGGCTGGACATTGTGGAGAAGCTGCTAGATAGATTTGGCAGACGGGGGCTTGTCTGGGAATGTCTTGCTTCCATGCCCTTTTCATTTCTCCTATTTTCAATGTAACTTTCTTCCATCCACCAAGGGGTCCTATGTTCCCGCCTTCCAATTGGGACTTCACAACATGCTTCTACTGCAGCTGCTGTGAGGATATTCTTGAATTTGCACCAGAAGATTTCAGTGTCCTCTGATGGTTCTTCTTCAGTTCCTATTGCTTTCACTATAAGCTCCTGGTATCTAGCCCTAATATCTGACTTCTTAGCTTGTTTGCTTTAATCCTCATCCCTTCTCGACTGCTTGGTTTCTTGCATGGTTGTCGGTGTTGCCTTGTTAGAGCAGTTCTTTCAGTTCTCTTTATTGTTACCAGATAGTGGTCGCTTCCAGTCTCTGGTCCTCTCATGACTGACATCTCTCACAAACTTGAATGAACTTTTCCTTACTATGGCATAGTTAATGATGGATTTCTCATTCTTTGAAGGTTCACATCTTGTGCATGCATGTATATGTTTGTGGGAGAATTTTGTGTTTGTAATGACATGGTTCTATTCCCTGCAGAATCTGAGAAGTCACTTGCCATTGTCATTCAGAACATCTTGACCATATCTCGCGATCACTTCACCCCATCTTGAGTGATAATTTCCTAATCGGGCATTTAGATCTCCTAGGAGGATAATTTCATCGTGACAGTCATCTGTGGTCCTTTGGAGCAGTTTGATGAATTCTTCTTTGATATCTACTCGCTCATCTTCATTTGGCCCGCACACAATATCATATACAGTTTTATCTTCTTTCATATCTAACACCATAATTCTCTCCGAGATGAATTTCCATCCCTTGATGTTACTAACTTGATTCCTGGCCACAATACAGCCAACACCGTCCTTGGCTCTCTCCGTCATATGGACACCACTGTAGAGCAGCATACTTCCATCATGATCTGTAATTCCGTGCCTCTTTTTCTTGGTTTCAGTCAGAGCCAAGACTCCCAATTTTGCCTTCATCTCCCCTACTAACTCGTTTTCTTTCCCATTTATGCCTCTTATGTTCCATGTTCCAAAAATCATAGTCTGTAAGCCATGCCAGTAAATCGCTGTTAAGATCGTCCAGTTTTCTCTCTGTGGTAACTTGTAATCATAGTTTAAGACAAACAGGTGATCGACTGGTTGTGCCTTTGCTTGGTGGAGGGGCTTTCTCCATGCAGGCCGTGAGTCAAGCTGATTCACGGTTTTCCACTTCTTCCGGAGACACATGAAGCACTCAGGTTCAGCAAGACCCTCCTCCTTTTACAGCCGGGCTTGGGACGGTCTTAGCTGAGTTATTGTTGTATATTACAAACACTAAATAATATAGAAGGAAGCCAAAAACCACAGGGCTGTGGTGTTTCTGTAGAGTGCTAAGAATTTTATAAATATTTAAGGCTGCCACCTTGAGAAGACTCAATCTAGTCACTTTTGGTGATACAGTCTAATAAATGTTGATATATCACCATGTCTTTGACCTGTTCTCGAAAAGAATAGTTAAAATTATGTTGGTTCTTTATGCACCTGTGCAGTTTTTCAGTAAGTCAAGATAGGAATAAAGTAACTAAAAATACATTTTATGGGGTTTCTTATGACCATTTGAAAGCCAATTTAACCCTTTTAGCACAGGAAGTTTTTCAGAGGTCTAGCCAAAAACACAGAGCATTTTTTCAGTAAATTTGGTTTTTACTTTATTTAATTTTTTTGACAGATTTCTGTTATTCTGACTCCCATGAAATCATATATCTATTTGAAGGATATAGATTGAAGTTCATGATTTTCACAATATCGTTAAAATTAATTGATGTATATGCAAATTATCTCATTTGCATATCTAAAAATATAAAATTTGAATTTGAATTTTCAACTTCAATGCTTGAAACATAAAACTAAAAACAATTTTTTTTTATTTGAAATCTTTTTATTGGTCTTTGGCCTTTTTGCAAATGTTGTAAGCAATTCAATAGTCAAAAACAGGTATATATATATGAAACAGCAATAATATCTTTAGGTGACATGTTTTTTTCACCATCAGTCAGCACAAGAAATGGATGTGCCGGAGTGTCAACACCTTCGGGTGCATATACCCTGAGCCATGGCTGGGCTGTGGTCTGAACACAACAGCGTCCCCATCTGATTCCCACTATTACTACTAACACTAAATCCTGCATCAGTATCAACAGAATTAGTGTAATCACTTGATTCAAATGTTTTATCAACATCAAGTTGAGGGGCAGAAACATACGAGTCAGACGTACTTTTAGCGGTTCAGGTCACTATCTAAAAAATTCAACAAAAATTTTCACTTCGATACAAAACACTCGAAAGTCGCCATTTGTAAAGGCTAATACAGCAGTTAATATGAATGAATCACTTTCAGTGTTTCAAAATAGAAGATTTCTTAGCTGTTCGAGGCGAAACACGATCGGGCAGATCATCGGCCGTTCCGTGTTTTTGGCCAGACATCCGCCAGCCGATAATCGGCCCGTCCGTGCTAAGAGGGTTAATTTCAAAATTGTCTGTCACCCTTGGTGATTTAGATGAGTCACAGCATGACCCACCCAACACATATTGTTTGTTTAGACCCAGGAAGTGCATTCCATTGAAATGTTTCACTCTGCTCATGTTTATTGATTACCCCTTGATATATGCCTATATATGTGTGTGTATATGTAAATATACACACACATGTCCTGAAATAAAGATCGAAATGTATGCAGATAAATTAGGCGCCTATGTGATGTTCTTTTTTATTTATTTTTTTTAAAAAGAATTCTTTCTGGGAATTCCCATAGGTTCACCATCCATTTTTTTAGCATTCACAGGGTGAAAGGGCTAAGAAAACAAATATCCAAATACTACAGGAGGTGAAATACTACTAATATAAGGTTAGGATTGTCATTAACTTTTGAAGACATCATATGTTGGGAGTCTGGAGAAGGCAGACATCTTGGGAGATCATGAGTTTCAGACAGAAAATGTTGAATAGTGTGATCAGCATTTGAACTTACCAACCAACCATACAGTATGCAGATGTTTCTTCTCAGCATGTCATATGATGAAAATCAATTACCTGATAGTCTTTCTGCTTGTGGTGTTCTCTAGGGTATGGCTTGTGTTGGCAGGAGCAGAATGTGCACCATTGTCTCATCCAATCATTATGGGCCTATTCCTGGTGTAGAGGTCGGAGCCATGTGGAAGTTTAGAGTCCAGGTCAGTCTTGTTGCATTGTTGAACTTTCACATTGTGGCCTTATCTTATTGTGCTGTTTGTTTCTGGTTGGGTTGTGGCGTAGTGATTTACACTCTTTCCTTTCAGCTGTGTTCAATTAGAATGGCTTTAATTGAATGTTAAATAAGTGGGGATGTTGTTTGTCAGTGGGTTCCTGGGCCCCATTGTAGGGAAGACCAGAACAGACCCACTGGGTTCCCAATGAGCATGTTGTAGGAATCGACTCATTTGGAGCTTCTTTTGATGCCAGAGTGCATCTGCTCAAGTGATGAAACAACCAGGACTTTCCATCAGAGCTTACAGCTAGTGAACACAGATGAAGAGACTGTCAGTTACAGATACCTCTGGGAGATATATATCTTTAATGCTCAAGCGCTAGGGTTTGGAGTTTTTTTTTTTTTTTTTTTTTTTTAATAGCTAAACTGTTAAGCGCTATCCAGGGTTCGTAGCCTACCGGGAAATCTTGAATTTACAGTGAAATTGATTCTCGGACCAGGAACCTTAATTTTGACCTTTAAAAAGACATTCTAACTTAAAGAAGCCGTGAATTTTGACCGCCGCAATGAGATCGTCGGAAATCCTGCGATTTTCAGCAGTTGGGTTTGGGGGGGGGGGGGGGGGAGGCATTATGCTAGTTTTGGCCACTTTTGTTTACGGTTGTTTCAGATGTGAGGGAAGTTGATTATTGGATATTTTCAGCTGAAATGGCTTGTTAAAGGGGAGGGCAGGCTATGTAGCCCATGGATACAGCAGTGTGCCCTGGGGCGGGAAGGAGCAACCGCCATCTCGTGCGTGTTCCTTTGTTTCTAGTGGGTCGGCTAGAGACTGTTTATAATAGTATAAATAGTTTCTGGCCCTGGTTTCTAGAAACAATGATTACACTGGGAGATGGTGGGGCTAAGCAAAGTGAGGTCAGCTGGATTTCCCAGTTCTATATTTTGGCCTGACAGTGTGTTTGGTGATCAGGAAGTTGTGTTAGGTGGGAAGGGGGGGGGGGATGGGTGGGTGTCTTTCAGCGTGAACCTGGTGGATATTTTCTTTTGATGTTAGTTTTGCCTTTTGATGTAGCAGGCCTTTATCTCTGTCCCTCTGTCCATCTCCCTACATGCTCTCTTACTTTTGTCCTTCCTGTTCCTCACTCTCTGCCTGTCTGTCACTGCCTTCCTATCTTTCTCTTTGCCGCTCTCCCTCACCCCCCCCCCCCCCATTTTCTTCATGCCTTAAATTGGTGTAGAGGGTTATGTGTTGCCCAGTGCAGAACATTTAATGTCCTCCCCCCTCCATCACACGCATATTAAATATATGTGTACTCTCACAAACTGTTCTCACCTCTGTCTCACCCTTACCATCTCAGCCTTCTACACCACCTCCTCTCCCCTCTCCTTTCTGTAATTGGAAAATCAGAAATAAAACAAAGTCCACTGGTGCCCTGACTTTTTGTTTTTGGTTGGTCTCCTGCTCTATTTTCCACAAGTGGTGGTTTGGGGGGACTCTCCCCCCCCCCCCCCCCCCCCCTGACTTTTTGTTTCTTCAAGGTCCACCAGACTGAGTGTAAGAAATTGAACTGTCGGGGAGGGGTCAGCTCTGTGTGTGTTTATTGACCACGGCAACATTCACATTGGGAGAGGTTGGGAACCGGAAAAGTGGCCTCACTTAGAATTCTTAATTCTATTTTTGGCGCTCAGTGTTCTTACTCTTTCCTTTGATCTTCCACTCTTCTCCTGTATCTCTTCATCCTTTCTCTCTTCCATTCCTTACTCTGTTCTCTCTTGCTCTCCCTTCTGTCCCATCTCTTTTCTGTCTTCTCTCCATCCTGTCCCATTTTCTCTAGATTTCCTTACCCTCTCCTCTCTCTCTTTCATTCTCACCCCCCTCCCCCCCCCCCCCCCCACCCCACCCCACCCCACAATTTTTTTTCTGGTTCTTCTACATTTGCTGTGCTGCCCTGTAACCCTCTTGTCCTAGTGGTTGTGTCCAGTACACTTGAAATTGTGTTGTGGGTGGGGTTTTGGCAGCTGGTGGTTTTTTTTCTTTGATGTCTTGTTATATTTGTTAGAAATTCTGGCATATTTTTTACTCTCTCCCTTCCTGCCCTTCTTTCTTTAGCTGTGTTTGTCACTGCCTTCCTCCCAGTCTCTCTCTCTCTCTCTCTCTCTCTCTCTCTCTCTCTCTCTCTCTCTCTCTCTCTCTCTCTCTCTCTCTCTCTCTCTCTCTCTTGCTTTATGTCTGTTTGCCTCCCTTTCATCATTTCCTCTTTGTTTACCTCCCACCCATTTTCCTGCTCTGCCTTTTTTCTCTCTCTTTGGTTCTCTCCCTCTGTCTGTTTGCCTCTCTTTACTGACCCTCAGTCTCTCTCTCCTTTATGTCTACATCTCTCTGCTTGCATCTCCCTCTCTCCCTGTCCCTTCTCTCTCCCTCTGTCTCCCTTCCTCCAACTCTATTTGCCATATTTTACCTGCTTCCATATCTCTTTTTTTTTCTCTTCTTCCTTCTCTCTTCATCTGCCCATTTCTGTATCTGCGTTCCCTCTTTCTGTATTTGTCTTTCGCTGTCCCTTCCCCGCTTCCCCTTATCATGTCTCCATCCCTCCCTCTTGTTGTCACCTTTTTCCTCCTTCCCCCGTCTCCCCCTTCTTTGCTCTACCTTCATCTGTCCAACTTTACACTGTCTCCCCCAGTCTACCTTAGCATATGTCTTCCTCCCTCTCTGTATGACTCTCTCCACTCCCCCCCCCCCCCTTTCCCCTTTCAGGTACCAGGTCCAGAACAGACAGGATTTCAGTTTGCTCCACTCTACCACCAAGTCAAAAAAAAAAATTTAAAAACACAATATCAAGTGCCATGATGGATTGGAAAAAATAATAGCAGAAGGCATGGTACCATGAAGATGGGCACAGATTATAAGTGACTCCTTGAGTATAAAAGTACATGAGGCAGGAGAGCTGGCGAGAGGCCGAGTTTCTTTCAGGCAGTCCGTGATAACAGCGACGTTCTGCGAAGGACCTGCTACATGATGATGATGATATCTGCGCTGGTATACATGAAGTACCTTGTGTGCTTGGTACACCCTTGAACAAGGCAAAAATCTTGTTTCAGTATTACACCGAGACTACCTTGAAAAAAACTAAGGGGACATTGAAAAGGACCTTGAAAAGCCTTGAAATTGATTGGTGAATTTGGTTATGAACCCTGGCTATCTCCTGTGTTTGTTTTGATAGAATTGAAGCCAAGTTTTTTTAGTCCTTACTGCGGTTAATACATAGCATTTATCTGCCCTTTTGGGATTGCTGACTTCAGCTCATATTTTACACACAAAATTTAAGTAGTTACTGCAGGCCTCACTGACTGATTCTTATTCTGTTCTTTGGTTTCTAGCCTTAAAAATACGATATGTTTTCAGCACACATTTGACTCTCTATCAAAGGCGCTTGTGTGTATCCCTGGATTGTTTTCCAATGATAGGACACATGTATTCCTATGATATGCAGGTGGTATACCAGAGCATGCAATCATCCAGGAGGTATTCCTCAAAGGCTGAAAAAAAAAACTTGCTCACATCAGGAAGTAATACTTAGCAGGCTTGATTCATGATGTGCTTTACAATCTGATTCCTCCAGTCACATCTCTACCCAACCTAAACCACATTTAGTCAGCTAATATCAGCTACTTTGTAGAATTTGGAAGAGAAAAAAATGCAGTCACTGATAATGTGAAGTATTGATTGTTTGAAGAAACCTCTAGATGCCTGTTCTTACTGATATAATGATGTGAGTTATTTTATCAGATGCTCTATATAATCAATCTCTTAATGTGTTCAAGTCATAATTGTTATTGTTTTGTTGTAAAGTTTGGACATAAAAGCAGTCTGCTGTGTCCTCTACAGGTGAGTGAGGCAGGTGTTCACCGTCCACATGTGGCTGGAATCCACGGCCGAGAAGATGATGGTGCATACTCCCTTGTTCTGTCCGGGGGATATGAAGATGATGCTGTAAGCTTGCTTTCTGTCATAGCCATGTTTATTTCTTTACTAGTTATTCTTAGGGCTTTATTTTTAAAGCTTAATGATTGTTAGTGCGACATTGTAGGGAGGTCATATAGGGTCTGAGCTCCCGACATCCTACCTACATAAATGAACAAAGAAGCACCAACAAATGTCTCTCACATTCCAGGTAGACCAGTAGCTACAGATACTACTGTTGTTATCTTTACATTCAGTTTCTGTTGTAGCGTTTATTAAAACCTGTTTGAATGGTTTTGTTACAAAAGCATGAAAGAAAAATTAACATGTGCGCAGAATTAAACAGAGCATTAAAAATTGATTGTGCACCATGTGTTGGTCAGAAAAAAAGTCGCTGTAGGCAAGCATCCCATTGCCTAGGTGGGTGGTGAATACCATCTGCAAAGGGGTTTGTTGTTTCTCCCTTAAACATGTGTTGATCACATTCATTATGTGGTAGCCACTGTAAGCACACCTTTCCAATATTGCATTTCCCCATGAACAACTGATTTAACTGTCCCAGCTGGCACATCACATTCTTTCACCAGCAAATGTAACATTTGACAAGGGTTCAGCTGTATTTGCTGCATCAATTTTGGCAATAGGTTTTCCTGTCACAGCAGTATTCCCTTGACCCAGCCATGGAAGATCTGTGGTGAAATCGTGTTCTTTTGGAACCATTTATGTCCAGTCTGTCACTATTGTCTTCGTTGAATGTCCACTGGGCTACATGCTCCACACCTCAAAGCGTATTAGGCACGAAGGGCTAGACCTATATACAGCTGGCAATTACTCCCTGTTTTTACTACTTTTGTAGTGTTGGCTGAGGTTTTAGGGCCACATGGCTGGTGCTGTTGCAGATTACATTTTTAGCTGTGATAAGAAAAATCCATGTCCTTATCAATGGTTTGAACCTGGGTCTCCCACATGAGAGTCTAGCATTCTTAACTATTCAGCCAGCTGCTCTTTAAAAGCACAACACTTATTCTGTATAGCCATATCTCCATATATATATATATAGGACCACACTATAACTGTTCAGTTATTTGCTTATTGTTTAGGTTGACTACATATAGAAGTGTTGAATTTATCTAACATTTCATAATTCCCAACAGTTCTACAACTAACACATTGTTTGTTCCAGTTGACATTCGTAGCCTAGCAATGTTCCAGTTTGATTTCTTGTGCCATTATTCTCGCTGCAGGACGAAGGTCAGGAGTTTTATTACACGGGAAGTGGTGGCCGAGATCTCTCCGGCAACAAACGCACTGCAGAACAGTCGTGTGACCAGACGCTGACGAGAATGAACAAGTATTATCATCATCCCATTACTATCCTTACATTGTTTTTTTGCCATTGCAAGTACTATCATTACATTGTTATTTGCCATTGCAAGTACTATCATTATATTGTAGCCACCATAACTGTTGTGATTAAATAGCTTTTTGCCATTGCAAGTGTCTAAAGGAAAATGAGATTGGGGTTTCCTATCCTATCTGTGGGTGTGCAGTAGATTACTGACTTAATCTGTGGGATGCTAAATAAAACCTTTTGTCCTAATTTCAATTTGAAACTCTGTCTACACTTGTATGTTACGTTTTCTAGTGCTTTGGCTATCAGCTTCTCATTTTTTTCTCAGTGTTGCAATATCTTTCAATATCTTTCATCTTGCAAGAAAACCGAAGCTCAGTGGAATTAAAGGAAGGATGCACACAGGCACCATATGTTTCGAAAACATTTTTTACCAGTGAGCAACATTTTTGTTCTTACAATTCACCAGTCCTAAACTCGGATGGAAAGTCATCTTCTCTCAGGACCTAGATTTTTGTTTTTGTTTTTTTTGTTGTTGTAATCTTCTGTTAGTACTTTGATCTTCTTCTTCTTTGTCGTTTTCTGTCAGGGCTGATCTTGTTCCAGAAATTATGTTTTGCATGAATATCCATTTAACAGTCTTGGCTTCTTCATATGCAGACTGTTAGTTTCTAGCCTCTGAGTCAAAAACAACCCTCACGGGCTGATTAGTCATCTTTTATTACTTGTTTCCTAGACGGCAGTGACCCCTGCAACTCACACAGGGAAACAAAGTGAACAAGAATACTTGGTTCTTTATTTTTATTCGCCCCAAATGTGGGGGATCCCAGAAAGTCCAGTATTATAGGGTTGTTAGAGTTTTAAATAAGCATTGACTAACCCTAACACTTTTATAATATTGCACTTTCTGTAGAACTCCAGGATTGTCCGCATTTAGGGGAAATAAAACATAAAGCACTGAATACTTTGTTCAAACAGGGACACAATTTAGTGGAAATGTACCACATTTAAAAGACAGGAGAAAGTACTTTTGGTCTTAACCATATCATCCTATAAATATATGAAATAAACTGGCCATGAACACATAACTTCTTAAAGGAAAATCCTTACAGAGGTCACTAACACACCAGAGTTTACAGCTGGTGAACGCAAAGAAGAAGACTAACATAAATTTTAATATTTATTTATGTATGTTTAAAAAATACTCATAACTTTTAAATTTTCTTTTACTCTATTCACATTTTCATTGGCTTCTATTGTTAGAATATTTGGTCAGTCGTTGAAAAAGTGCTGTTGTTACTAAGTGCGAACAATGTCCTCAACACTTTATTGCACTAACGTTGAACAAATTCACTAACAACTGGGGGGAAACGGTGGCTTTAAAACATCTCCTGAAATTTCTATGTAAAGCCAAATTCAAGTTGGCTGCCATGATCATGTGACATGTTTGCATAATATATATTTGTTTATGTGTAGCAGCCAATAATTATGGTGCTGTGAAGGTTTCAAAACCATACGCTTAATTTGCATTTTTTTAAAAATGAATTTCATTGTAAAACCAGTTATTTTGAGAAGAAAAAACAACAACTTCAAAACACCCTTGGCAATGGGAGACAGAAATGCCTCGCATGGCTGGTCAGCAAAGTGTTAATTTTGTTTTTGGTGTTGGCTCAAGCAGCCACAGGTATATTACATGGAAACAATCTCGCCACACATATATGAAAAAAGAAACAATCTCGTCACACATATATGACAAAGGAAACAATCTCGTCACACATATATGACAAAGGAAACAATCTCGTCACACATATATGACAAAGGAAACAATCTCGTCACACATATATGACAAAGGAAACAATCTCGTCACACATATATGACAAAGGAAACAATCTCGCTACAATTTAGTGTGAGGATAATAAGGTCCTGGTCAAGAACATAACAAATCAGTGTCTTGCTTTAGTGAAGTCTTGCTCTGCTCTACTTGTTCAAATGGAAATGCGCAGGTACTGACTTGAGGTATGCAAACAGCTGACTCTCACATACATTGACATTCATTATTTTACTTGTTTTCCTTGTATGAGTCAGTTTGTAACCTCACTGTTAAACACTGCCCCCCGACTGATTTTTATGAAATTTTTCTTCAGATGGTATTACCATTCTTATCTGAGATTGTATCATTAATCCTTAAAGACCTTTTTTTTTTGGTCAGTACAATCCAGTAAAGCCTGTGATTTTCTTACTGCTTCTTTGTAAGTTTTGTATATTTGTATTTGATCAGAAGTTAGATGTATGTTTAATTTAAACTTGCCTGTTTGTACAGAGCCCTAGCCAAGAACTGCAGCGCTCCATTAGATAACGTCAAAGGTGCTGAAGCCAAGGACTGGCGAGCAGGCAAGCCAGTTAGAGTGGTTCGCAACTGTAAGGGGAGAAAACATTCTGACTATGCACCAGAGGAGGGCAATCGATATGATGGCATTTATAAGGTCAGTATTATCTGTGCACATAAACGTTTTGTGTTTTGCAGCCATCCAGTATTATTGGTTGTATGTTGGAAATGGTGCATTGTGACTGGTTACCGCAGAGCTATTCCCCCCCCCCCCCCCCCCCCCCCCAGCTTTTGGCTTCCTAGAATTCTAAACTTAGTTATTGATATACTGTATGCAGTTTTGTGTGACTCTTTGGAAGGTGAGTGCATGTGCAGGCTGTTTGTAGTGTGCCCTATATTTGTGTGTGATTTGCTAACATTTATGGCTCTAAAATTGTGTGGAGCTTAGTGTGAATGCTCCAGTGAATACAAAAAATTGTCAGAAAATCATTTTGCTTCTTACTACAGTGCTAGTCAATACTTGTTTATTTGTTTGTTAAACCCTCTCTTGGTTTGATAATAACCGAGCACTTTAGAGCAAACCAGTTACTTCAAATATTTAGGATCCATTTTAAGAGACCCGGGGTCAAGGCCAGAAATCATGTCTAGGATTGCCCAAACAACATCAGTCAATGACAGACAGCAAATAATATGATTTAAAAATATTTCATGTAGAACCAAGCTTTGATTGCTCAGAGCACTAGCTATTAGTTTGTTTATTTATGGTAGTAAAATGTGGACCTTAACAGCTGAACTCAAAAAGAAATGCAGTATGGTAATTATGAACCTCTTTTAACTACAGTGGAAAGGCAGAAAATGCAATAGCACTAACTGTTGTGTGCTAGAGTGGGAAGACAGTGCACGGCCAAGAGTCCTGGATATAATTCACACTCCTAACTGTTGTACTCAACTTACGCACAAACTGTCAGGAAAACTCAATAGCGTGTTGCCACGACCTGTGCCCATTTTACTTCATAGGCACGATCGGGTTTACACAAACCACACAGAATAATGCAAGCTAAGTATCATATGCATCACTGGGTTATCATAAAATGAATTTCCCACACTTCGCTCACTAAAACTAGTATATCAGTGCTTTCTCTACACTAGCTGCCCTTGTTCCTGCTACAGTGTTTAGCGTCTAGCTACCTTCACTTCATGGCTTGCTGTAAGGATAAACAGGTTACATGTTGCTGGTAGAGAGTTAACCAATTTATTGAGATATTTTGGTCACCCAGGTGGTCAAGTACTGGCCAGAGAAAGGCAAGTCCAATTTTCTTGTGTGGCGATACCTGCTGCGGCGAGACGACCCTGTACCAGCACCATGGACCAAGGAAGGCAAAAAACGAACCTCCGACCTGGGACTGACAATGCAGGTAATTGTTGTTGTGTGAGCGGAAAGATGGAATGGAAGAATAAACTGTCAGCCCTCTGTTGACGTATAACAACACAACAGGAAAATGACTATTGTTTGCATGCATTTATTTCTGCTGATGTTTAACCATCATCCTTTTTTCCTACTTTCCTCTGCTGCCACTCAACTAGAATCTTCTTCTTCTTCATGTTCACCAGGTGTAAACTCTTGCGGAAAGTTCTGGATCTTCATCCACTTCTGGACTGCAGTTCTGTTTCAGAACCTGATTGTTACGTGTGCGTCTGTTTTACACATCTACCATTTGTATGCAGACTGCTGGCTCCTTGCCTCTCAGGCAGATGCACTTCGACTGTAAAGAAAGCTCCCAATTAGTCAACTTTTACAACATGCTTTTGGGTAGGCAGTGGGTCTATTCTTGTTTTCCCTATAACAGGGCCCCGAAACCCACACAGGGATTACCTAGAATGAATATTATGTGTGTGTGTGTGTGTCCACTTTGCCACACACACAAAAAGTAACCATGTCCAAATAGCCTCTGTGGAACTTTTGGCCGAAGCCAGCTCCCAAGGAGCTTTTAGTTATGTGTGCGGATTTTAGTTCCCTTGCACGAAGTGGCTATGACTGGTTTCCTAGTACCATCTTTAGTGGCTTAAATCTAAGCCACAGTCTGTTGATATCTGTCACTGATCTAGCTCACCGACGCCGCCTCTGGTGGCATCATCCTGGATTGGTTCTGCATCTGTCATTCACTTCCTTGATGTTGACTGAGTAAGCCCTTAGAAGAAGTCTTGTTTGATTGGTTGTGCCTACCGTCTGGCTTTCTTGTGCTGTTTGTGTGGTGGTTTTGAACTCGGTTTCTTTCCTGGCTATTATCATCTCTGTTACTTGTCTGATACATATTTCTTGCTACCGCTAATCATCGTACCCTCGCTAAAGTCTCTGTTACTTGTCTGATACATATTTCTTGCTACCGCTAATCATCGTACCCTCGCTAAAGTCTCTGTTACTTGTCTTATACATATTTCTTGCTACCACTAATCATCGTACCCTCGCTAAAGTCTCTGTTACTTGTCTGATACATATTTCTTGCTACCGCTAATCATCATACCCTCGCTAAAGTCTCTGTTACTTGTCTGATACATATTTCTTGCTACCGCTAATCATCGTACCCTCGCTAAAGTCTCTGTCCTGTCTTCTGCCATTTTATTTGTTCCTGTACTCTTTCTTCCATTTCATCTACTTTCAGCATCATTTCCTGAGTTTTCTGTTCTCTTGGGTCAATATCAGTTTGGATACTTTTGCTACACGTCGTCTTGTCTTTTTGGTTCTTTGATTTAAATGTTCTGTTCTGTTCTGTTCAAATAGGTTTGATGGATTCACCTGGTGGTCTTGAGTGTTTGATCATATCTTCTTTCAGAAGCTCCTGTTGTTTCTGAAATGTTAGCCAGGATTTGGTCAAAATTCTGTTTTGATAAGCTCAATTTGGGGCTGTTTCTTCATGTCTTCTCTCGGGCCTTCTCTTATCTCTGTCCAGGTGTTGTCTTGTCCTTGTCAGCATGTCCTTCAACTTCATACATTTTAGTCTCTGACTGGCTCTGGGTTGATATGCATCAGTACAGTTTGTTCCCGCATCATAGCCATCATTGTTATCTCCGACTTGCTCTAGTCTCTGACTGGCTCTGGGTTGATATGTATCAGTACAGTTTGTTCCTGCATCATGGTTGTCTCTGGCCTTTTCCTGCTTCTGATTGTGTCTTGATTAGTACATAGCATGTCTCTTGGCCACTGGCTTGGATCATGTTATCTTGATCCAGATATTATTGGATGCGGTGACTGCTGAAGTCATTAGGAATAGTCGTTAGGAGGACTCGTATGATTGCTTGGATCTTGATCCTCGATGACCCGAAAACTCTACCAAAAATAAACTCAGAAATTCTTTACTGCTTAACTGATCAATATTCACAGTGTGTAAATCAACTCTTTTTATGCCTATGATGTGTCTGGTAATTAGTGATAGGCATATTATTGTATAGCCAATTACCTTTACTTACATGGACATTTCCTGATACCCATTTTAGGCATAAACCTCATGGGTCAGTGATAATTTTGAAAAATCTGCCCCTGGATGGATTTGAACACAGGGAGAATGTCATTAGTGTGTAGTGCCTGTTCATGAGTGCAGAGTTAATAATTGTTTTGTGTTTGGGATAGACAGTGAGGTAAACCACTGGTCTGCACATTTTGTATAGTTACGACTTAATTATAAACAAACAGTAGCACTACTGTACCTTTAGTTCATCATCTGTCACGTGAGGGTTGTGAACACGCTTCATAATTCCAAAATACCTGATTCAATTCTAGCTGCAGGATATTTTGCTGCAGACCAGTTTGCATTGATTTTAACATTTGTGTGGAGCCCTGACTTTTCAGAGAGCATTAGCAAACTACTACGCTTTCTTAGTAAAACCAAACATCTAAAAATTGCTAGAGTTCTGCAACTTCTTGTAAAGGACACACAAATAACATTGTAACCTGTAGATGTCAGCCTTTGGACCTGTTTGATCGTTTATTTTAGTATCCTGATGGTTACCTGGAAAGCCAGCAGGAGAAAGAAAAAGAGAAGGAAAAAGAAAAGGGCGAGGAAGATGAGCCTACACCTGGCAAAAGGGGCAGAAAACGCAAGTCAGAGGGTGAGTTGATTTGAACATTCTTTTGCCTCCGTGTGCTGTTTGTTCAAATAATGTATATTGTGTCTCTTGACACCAGGTCTGAGATAGTTGATTTTCCCCCACCACTTTCTCCCCGGGAATTGTTTATTTCTTGTGTATACCATGTCTGCCAGGCTGCCCCCCTTGTTGGAGCTTTCTGTCACCACCCTTTGCTGTGTCAGTGGAGATAAAATGACAGTGTCACATTAGGTTCAGAATCAGTGGATATGTAGTGTCAGTGGATATGTAGTGTCAGTGGAGGTAAAATGACAGTCACATTAGGTTCAGAATCAGTGGAGATGAGGTTCAGTATTAGCGGAGATAAGTGTCAGTGAAGGCGTAGTGTCAGTGGATAAGTAGCTTCAGTGGAGGTGTGGTGTCAGTGGAGGTGTGGTATCAGCAGAGATGTAGTGTCAGTGGAGGTGTAGTGTCAGTGGAGGTGTAGTATCAGTAGAGGTGTAGTGTCAGTGAAGGTGTGGTATCAGCAGAGGTGTAGTGTCAGTGGAGGTGTGGTATCAGCAGAGGTGTAGTGTCAGTAGAGGTGTAGTGTCAGTGAAGGTGTAGTATCAGCAGAGGTGTAGTGTCAGCAGAGGTGTAGTGTCAGTGAAGGCATAGTGTGTGTGTGGAGGTGTGGTGTTAGTGGAAGTTTCTTGTCTATGTAGGTGTTGTCTCAGTGAAGATAAGTGACAAGGGAGGAGTGGTGTCAGCGGAGCAGTGGTGTCAGCGGAGGAGTGGTGTCAGTGTAGGAGTGGTGTCAGTGTATGAGTAGAGTCAGTGGAGAAGTTAAGATACTTGTATTTTAGGATATGTGTATATTATAGTTTAACGAATCAGTTGATTAATTAGGTTGTAATTCTGACAGTGAAGGAAATACACAGAAAGGACTGACAGTGAAGGAAATACACAGAAAGGAATTATAATATGCTCCAGCAAGGCATCAGCATCTGTAAATAGCTTGAACAAAATATGAAACTCTAAATTGTAAAGGTTTAAAACAGTTACCTGTTTTCAATTCTACTGTTATTTCAGTGTTAATGTATGCAAGTGAAATTGGGAGAACCACTATAGACATGGAACAATAGTTAACTGCATTCTATCACAAATATATGAGGAAAATCAAATGGGATGAATTCAAAAGAAGTAAGAGAGATGTCTGGACAGCCACTAGTATCAACAGTGAAGACAAGAGAAGATGGCTGGACAACCACTAGTATCAACAGTGAAGACAAGAGAAGATGGCTGGACAACCACTAGTATCAACAGTGAAGACAAGAGAAGATGGCTGGACAACCACTAGTATCAACAGTGAAGACAAGAGAAGATGGCTGGACAACCACTAGTATCAACAGTGAAGACAAGAGAAGATGGCGCTATGTCTGGACAACCACTAGTATCAACAGTGAAGACAAGAGAAGATGGCTGGACAACCACTAGTGTCAACACTGAAGACAAGAGAAGATGCCTGGACAACCACTAGTATCAACAGTGAAGACAAGAGAAGATGGCTGGACAACCACTAGTATCAACAGTGAAGACAAGAGAAGATGGCGCTACATCAGACACACCCTGAGAAGATTGCACTACATCAGACACACCCTGAGAAGATGGCACTACATCAGACACACCCTGAGAAGATGGCGCTACATCAGACACACCCTGAGAAGATGGCGCTACATCAGACACATCCTGAGAAGATGGCACTACATCAGACACATCCTGAGAAGATGGCGCCACATCAGATACATCCTGAGAAGATGGCGCCACATCAGACACATCCTGAGAAGATGGCACTACATCAGACACACCCTGAGAAGATGGCACTACATCAGACACATCCTGAGAAGATGGCGCTACATCAGATACATCCTGAGAAGATGGCGCTACATCAGACACATCCTGAGAAGATGGTGCTACATCAGACATATCCTGAGAAGATGGCGCCACATCAGACACATCCTGAGAAGAAATCAGCAGAGGATCACCAGACAGGCATTAAAATATGAAATTAAGGAGGCGAGGACATCCACAAGAAACCCTAAGTTGGACGTTGATGAGAGAGGCCAAGGAGGCTGGATTGGATTCTATCCATGATATTGAATTGATCGAACAGGATAGAATGGAATTAAGGAATAGACTGTGAGCCCTATGTGACATATAATGGTACAACAGGATAGACTGGAATGGAAGAATAGACTGTGAGCCCTGTGTGACATAAAATGGAATGGAGGAATAGACTGAGCCCTATGTGACATAAAATGGAACAACAGGATAGAATGGAATGGAGGAATAGACTGTGAGCCCTGTGTGACATATAATGGTACAACAGGATAGAATGGAGGAATAGACTGTGAGCCCTGTGTGACATATAATGGTACAACAGGATAGAATGGAGGAATAGACTGTGAGCCCTGTGTGACATATAATGGTACAACAGGATAGAATGGAGGAATAGACTGTGAGCCCTATGTGACATGCAATGGTACAACAGGATAGAATGGAGGAATAGACTGTGAGCCCTGTGTGACATATAATGGTACAACAGAATAGAGGAATAGACTGTGAGCCCTATGTGACATATAATGGTACAACAGGATAGAATGGAATAGAGGAATAGACTGTGAGCCCTATGTGACATATAATGGTACAACAGGATAGAATGGAATGGAGGAATAGACTACAAGCCTATGTGACATATAATGGAACAACAGGATACAATGGAATGGAGGAATAGACTGTGAGCCCTATGTGACATATAAGGGTACAACAGGATAGAATGGAATGGAGGAATAGACTGGGAGCCCTATGTGACATATAATGGTACAACAGGATAGAATGGAATGGAGGAATAGACGTGAGCCCTGTGTGACATATAATGGAATGGAGGAATAGACTGTGAGCCCTGTGTGACATATAATGTTACAACAGGATAGAATGGAGGAATAGACTGTGAGCCCTATGTGACATATAATGGTACAACAGGATGGAATGGAGGAATAGACTGTGAGCCCTGTGTGACATAAAATGGTACAACAGGATAGAATGGAATGGAGATATAGACTGAGCCCTGTGTGACATAAAATGGTACAACAGGATAGAATGGAATGGATTAATAGACTGTGAGCCCTATGTGACATATAATGGTACAACAGGGTAGAAGGGAATGGAGGAATAGACTACAAGCCTATGTGACATACAATGGTACAACAGGATAATGAATGAATACATTTTAGTTGTATTATTAATAAAATTGACAGTTTTAAAGTGTTGATGTTTACTTGCTTTTTTCTTCTTCTTATCTTACTTGACACACAGGTCATCTTGATCCATATTCATGCAATGTCTTAAAAATGTGTCCTTTGTGTATGCATTTCTGCATCAACAAGTGGGCGAGGAATCACAAGAGGTAGCTGATGCAGCTTCTTTAGTTTGACGGATTGACAACAGAAGAGATTGGAGCACCTGCAGGTTTATCAGGAGTGCGATGATGATGATCTGAAGTGAACTGCATATCTGGAATGTTCAACATCTACCACATATATTTGCTGAGTGAGAGGGATCATGTTTGTCTGAGGTGCTATGTTGTTGATTCTTTGTTATTCCCTTGTGGGAAAGGGGGGGTGGGAGACTGCATAACAAGCATATATCATAGAGTTGTTCAGTTAGGTGTTACCTTCGTAGTCGGAATGCATATGCTAGAGAGACAAAGAACCAACAGTTTGCTTAGAAATAAGCCAGATCTGTGAAATAGGCATACACACAAAATTCAAGATCTGAAACAAGGTCAACGTCCTGAAGTTGACGAACAGCTAGAACTATTCACCAAAGTTTACAGCTGCTGAATGTGAGGACAATTCTTCTTTCAGTGTTAGACTGGAGAAATTCTGACTTGTTTATAAATGTTTTCCAGCTGAAGTTCCAGAGTCAAAAAGAAAGTCAGTTTCAAAAGCTTCTGAGAAAGAGAAGGCATCTCCGAAAGTGGCCAGATATTCCCTTGAGTCCGGCAGCAAGAAGTTAATAGCCGAGGATAAAGTTAATAAGAAGCTCTGGAATGAGGCTCTGACACATGTAGGTGAAGGATCAAAGGTCAGTTCCTTATATAATAATGTTTCATTAATTTCTTAGCCCGAGGTGCCCGTAATGTGGCATCCACAACTCTTTCCTATCTCTGTAAATGTCATTAAACCAGTATTGCCGTATTGGCTTTACCCCGAGATGCCCAGTTAATGACGTTGGTTCTGTTAGCACCTGTGCAGTGTAATTTATCATCACTTTGTTCCATAGTGATGCGGTCAAGTATGAATCAGCATAAAAATTCTTGAGACCTACAGGATTAATCCATTTCATTCTCCTCTTCCTTCTTACTTGCTGATGCTCCCCTTCATATATTTGAAATGAAGTTAATGAAAATTAATAAAGGATTTTGTTTTTTTAAATGTTTTTAGTGGTCCATATAAAGTGAGGTTTTTAAAAAAAAAAAAAAAAAAAAAATTTTTTTCCAGAATTCCCACCTTTATGGGTTTTTTTCCCCCCCCCCCCCAAGCATTTCCGGGACAAAAGGATTCAAGTGAAAGCTAGTTCCAATGATTTGAAAAGGCGGCAAGAAGTGCCTGGCCAAATGGTAATAAATCTTCGCTCTTTTTGGATGGCTGGAGTTATATTTCTCTGTAAGATGATATACATTTCTCTGAATGTGGCCCCCCAAAAAAATCCCTACTGCACAGCTGTGTGGACCTAAATATACAGGCCAAATTCTCTCTCAGATTTGTTGTACCTCTTGGCTCTAAGTAGACCATAGTCATTGCTCATTTTGACCGTCTACAGTAGTGTTATATTATCTGATGTTCTTGTAATGCCACATATCATTAGACTAGAGAAGTTATAACTTTCTAAATATTTTCCACTTGTGGCTTCTGTGTGTTTGCTGTGCAGGGATTGCCATGGCCCATAGCCTGTGTTCAATATGTTCCACTTGTGGCTTCTGTGTGTTTGCTGTGCAGGGATGGCCGTGGCCCATAGCCTGTGTTCAATATGTTCCACTTGTGGCTTCTGTGTGTTTGCTGTGCAGGGATTGCCGTGGCCCATAGCCTGTGTTCAGATTGTTTCATGCAGTACTTAGGACATCTTGTTTTGACTTTCAGCTGTAGAAAGTATTTCATTTTAATTTTGCATTATAATATGCATCATTTACCTATTATGTTTGTATATATGTGTGTGTGTGTGATGCAGCTTGCATTGGCTATGTCTAAATTTCTGGAACCTCTTCAACTCAGAATTGTTGAATTTAATTATACTTTTTGATGTAACCCAATTCATATATGGGTGTGAGTGCAACGGGAAAACCACCTCATTAATTTTCATCAGAGTAAACGTTTTTGAGTGAGTTGTCACAAGTCATATGTGTGCTGTTTAAATATCTTCACGGGATGTTCTTCTGAGTGCTTTATTAGTCTATGATGTTGAGACCTATTGAAACCTGCTAACATTAGAGCCACATCTTCATGTTTTATTCTTCCTGTTACTTTTGTGGTCGTTTCTGAAGCTACTTCCATTGAGCCTCCATCAACCAATGTCTGTTGTCCCCTTGTATTCAAATGATTGCATGATGATGTACATGAACTTATTTCATTGAGAAATGAATGTTATTGCAGGTGTTCCATGACAAAGTAGAGGAGTTGTTTTTGTGTACCTGCTGCCAGGACCTGGTGTGTAAGCCCATCACCCTGACATGTGCACACAACATCTGTAAGGTGAGCTGAGTTGTGTGTTACCAGTAGATGAGGTTTTGTTGTGCTCATATACTCAGTTCACAGACTTCCTCAGAAGAGAAATTCTCACTTGACACTGCCATCATAGCACTTGGGAACATGCTTGTCTGTGCTTTATCTTCCTCAGAAAGTGGCAAAGAGTGTAGATACTTCGCTTCCATACCATGGTCAGTTGGCCTACATCTTCTTCTTCGAAGTTTTTACCAGCTGTACATTCAGTTGAAAAATTCTGATTGTTCTTTAACCCTACCAGACCTGAGGCCCTGAACCTAACTGTCCCTATAACCTGAGCTCCTGGGCATTAACACACAAAAGACCAGCACAATGTAAGAAAATATTAATTACATGTAAACAAGTGATTAGAATAAGATAAAACTTGGAGACCATTGTAGAAAATAGGTTTACCTTTCATCTAGCGCCAATATTCCACCTTTGTGTGCCAATCCACCTAGCACCAGATGTTGCTGTTTGAGGGACACGCCCCTTTCTCTTACTATCGATCTATTTTTAAATCTATAATTTGCATAATTCTCCTCCTCACTAACTCTCTCTGACTGTCGCTTCAACTGGGAAGGCATTCTTCATGAACGTATTCACAGTCTGAATCAACTAATGTATCGATCACCTGTTGGGCTGTGAAAAGCCTCGACCTACGTCCCTTTCTTGTCGAAGCCGCTCGTTTCAGTAAAAATTTTCCGATTTCCCCCCCCCCCCACATTAAACCACACAAAGAAATCTCAACACACATGGGAAGTCATTCGCAATGACTAACCAGAAAGTCTGATGGCCATTAGCTGGTTATTTTCAGTATGTGCCACATATTTTTTGCGTACTGCGCAAATTCCCTAAAAATGGGGCCAGCGGTATAGCGTCAGGTTAGGAAATTCCCGAAAAATGGGGCCAGCGGTATAGCGTCAGGTTAGGAAATTCCCTAAAAATGGGGCCAGCGGTATAGCGTCAGGTTAGGAAATTCCCTAAAAATGGGGACAGCGGTATAGCGTCAGGTTAGGAAATTCCCGAAAAATGGGGCCAGCGGTATAGCGTCAGGTTAGGAAATTCCCGAAAAATGGGGCCAGCGGTATAGCGTCAGGTTAGGAAATTCCCGAAAAATGGGGCCAGCGGTATAGCGTCAGGTTAGGAAATTCCCTAAAAATGGGGCCAGCGGTATAGCGTCAGGTTAGGAAATTCCCTAAAAATGGGGCCAGCGGTCTGGTAGGGTTAACTTTTGGACTTTGGTCTTGTTCCAGAACTTGAGTTTTGTGTACACATCCAGTTTACAGATCTGGTTCATTTGTATGCAGGTTATTGGTTCCCTGCCTCTCAGGCAGATGCACTCTGACTTTAAAGGAAACAGGCTAATTAGTTGCCTTTTATGTCATGCTTGTTGTGGAGCCCATATCTACTTGGTTAAGTAAGAGGTCACACTTTTTGGCTTTGCACTCCTGAAGGCCGGTTTATTTCACAGACTGCCCTGCTCATTTCACTAGTGTGATTTTAATGGAGATCTTTGGGAGTAATTGCTGAGATTGTGCTTTGTATGTTGCTATGGGCAGGGGCCCGGCAGTTATGGGCGGAAGCCCAGCAGTTATGGGCAGGGGCCCCGCGGTTATGGGCAGGGGCCCGGCAGTTATGGGCAGAGGCCCGGCAGTTATGGGCAGAAGCCCAGCAGTTATGGGCAGGGGCCCCGCAGTTATGGGCAGGGGCCCGGCAGCTCTGTGGAGAGAAACTAAGCCCAGTTGGATGAAAACTGAATGCAATTAAATGGATCTTGTCTGTTTTCAGCTGCCACCAACAATGGACTTTCTGTTAGTTTTAAAGTAACAGGTGTGTGAGATATAACGAGTTAACTTGTCTAAATATATATAAGTTATTCGTGTGGGTTCTGGTGCCCCATTGTTAGGAAAACAAGGATAGACCCACTGTCTTCCCAACAAGCATGTCACAGGAGTTGACTAATTGGAAGCTTCCTTCGTACTCAGAGTGCATCGGCCTGAGCTGTAAGAATCAGTCAACTGTACACAAATAAGTCAGTAAAACGGATGTACGGCCCCATCACAGAGCCAAAGTTCAAGTGCTCGAACAACTAGGGCTTTCCGCCTGGCAAAAATAGAACAATGAGTTTATGGGCTATTATTTTCATTTATTTGTGTCAGTCTTTTCCAGGTTCACTGATTTAATGTTTTTTGGTAGTTTCTTTGAAGTCAGTTCACAAACATTGCTTCCTTTTTTTTTTCTTATGGTTTCCACCTGCACCTGGTTTGTGAAATATTACTTATTGAACAAAGAAATGTTATGCCTTAAAATTGTTGTAAATGGGACCAGAAAAGTAAAGGAGATAATTAGAAAGATGGAATTTAAAAATTATAGTACCTTAGCAGGTCTTGAAGCTGCTGCCTCCAGATAATGACAACATATTGTATATTTCTCCTAGATTTATTAGTTATTAAGATTATTACTAAGTCATTATTGTTTAGCATTTTGAGGTGAGTTAGGAAATGATATCACAGCACTAGGGGCATTCCGATATGCGCTCTATCCCCATCCTCAGCAGCCAGCCCAGAGTTCCAAGACTACTGGTGCCAGTTGTAGTCTGGTTGTATGTCCGTCTTGCCTTTCCTCTGAATGTAGTGTGCTGGCCAAACCCTCTGGTCACTCCCAGGTGCACCATTCTCTTCAGTCTAGTTTCTCTTTTGACTTCGTTACTTGTTCACCTCTGCCTTGTCATGTATCAATTAACCACCCAATGGTGCACATATCTAGCTAGTCTGTCTGTCTGTTCATTCATCACCACGCCAGCATGACCTGATCCTAAGTATGCTCACTACCCGTGAAGCTTGCCACTCTGCTCAAAGCAGTCATGTCTTCACCTTTTTCAGCATGCTTTCAGAGTCTGTTACGATTATTACATGTGTGATTTTTGTTTAGAAAAGTAGGCATAATTCTCATCATCATCATAAACAAATTCTGCCGTTAAGCGGCGTGGGGAGGAATAATTTGCTATCCAGTGCACGTCGGCTGCCACTGGCTATTGTCATGCCGTGAAGGCGCAGTGTCTTTAATGTTGTCGATCCATGTTTTCCGCGGCCGTCCTCTTGCTCTTGTAGCTGATCTTCTGAGATGTAGTGCTTGTGATGGTATTTGATCTAGCGGCATTCTAACAAGATGGCCAAACCACTTAATCTGCTGTTTCTCGATGAATATAGTACAAGGTGTCGTTCCCACAATTTTCCCAATAGTTTCATTATTCACTCGATATTGGATGGTTAGGTTGGCTGCTTTTCTCAGGCACCTCATCTCGCAGGTGGTGATTTTGCGTATATGGGCTTTAGATAGTGTCCATGTTTGGCACTGGTAGCTTAATGTTGGAATGAATATGCTATTAATAATCTATCTCTTTGCACTCGTAGTTATGCTTGGATGTCTTAATAATGGTGACAATTGAATTGGTATATAAGTGCACTTGCTTTTTTCTGGCATCTGGTTTCTGTTTCTCTGTTAATTCTACCATCTTCTGTGATCATGCTTCCTAGATATTTAAACTCCCAAACTTGATTCAGAGCAGAACCATTCAGCTGTATGTGTAGTGGGGCAGGTGTTCTACTAACTTGCATTGTTTCGGTTTTGTTTACATTGATCTTCATGTTGTATTTACTGCATGCTGAGTTTAACCTGGTAATGTGGTCTTGCAGTCTATCTTCTTCAGGTATAATTCTATTATTTAGATGATCATACGACAGAGTAATACCTTGGTTGCTTTGTTGAGATGTTGTCATTATTTGGCGATACAGGTTCAGCTGCTAGCGTGGTCAGTATAATTTCCAGATGCTCTCTAATCTCTGTGATTCATATCCTTGTCCAAATAAACACTTGATTTATTTTCTCCAGTTTGGAATATGCTGAATTGTGAAGCCATTTACCTACTTCTCTAACACTTGTAGGTTCAGTTCTGGGCTGTCTGTAAGGGCATGTTTTCCAGATATCTCTGTGGGTGTTGCTGGCACTGGGGAGTTAGTGATTTGTGCTGCACTTTCTTACATGATCTAACCATTAGGATCCTATTGCTCTTTAAGCAACTTTTTTCTTTTTAACACTAACACTCTTTACTGGTGATATTTTTCTAAACTGGACATGTTGTTTGTTACAGGCATGTCTACAGAGGTCATTCAAAGCTGAAGTCTACTCGTGTCCTGCATGTCGGGCTGAACTGGACAAGTCTATGTCCATGGAGACCAACAAGACCCTGACCCAGATCCTCAACAGTCTCTTCCCTGGCTACGAGGCTGGCCGATGAAACTAAGCCAAGGGACTGGCTACGAGGCTGGTCGACGAGTGAGATCAAGCTGGAGGACTATCTTGCTGTAAATATTTCACCAACTTGTCATGCCTGCTTGTCAATCAAGTTTTGCAGCAGTTAATGTTAGACTGTTTGAAGTGTCTTATCTCATCTTCTGTCATACAACAGTGGGATCACACCCTTAGTCTTCACTACAAACAGCTGAAGCAAAGACATTTTCTCTTGGGATGCAGGTATTCACACTGTTTAGAGTGTCGGCTATGCACACACCCACATGAGACAGTTGACCGTAACCTTTTTGAATGCCAAGTACATGATGTCATTAGAAACAATTGTTTTCCTCAAAAGCCAAATAGTACCTCAAAAGAAATTAGCTCAGGAATGTATGAAAGTGCCACAACTGCATGGCATTAGATGCCCAAGCAGTGCTGGGTTGCTGTTAGGTAGTGTGTAGACAATCATACTCCACAAAAGACTTTTGTTCCTGAAAAATAGATTTTTCTGGAAGCCATGAAATATGAGGTCTGCTAAAAAAAAAAGTATATAATCTGATGTGTGGACAAGTTGCACACTTAAAAGTCTAAACTTTGTACCATTTAGTGTTGAATCGTTTAGGCTGCACAAACTTCTGTTTGGGAGGGGGGGGGGGGGTATTTTTTAACTGGCAACTTTTTAGTTACATCCAAGACTGGCAACAGTGATAGAAAAGGTGTGGTGTGTCTTCCTCACTGTCAGTGCCATTTTGCCAACATATACAGTTTTTTGTTTTTCAAAATTTTATGTGTGGCTATGCAATGTTTTCTCATATTCAGCTATATTCCAGGTGGTTTTAAGCTTGTGATGTAGACAGCTTACAGTGAAGTCTGGAGTGTTTTATTTATGTGGCCTTTTTTGTGTGAAACTTTTAAGGAAATTAAAATCTCCGCAGCAGCCTTATATATCATTGGGTAATTCTGACTGAACAGCCAACTGCTCAGGTGTATGTTTATCTGTTTGTATGTAACATATTACCTCATTTGTTATTAACTTGTCATTTCTGATACCATTTCTCAGGCCTCCATGCCCATAGACAGTTGTTAGTTCATTGCCCTATGCTGGTACTGGAAACAAAGTTTTCCATCCACTCAGTTGTTCGGTCTGCTAACTGGGGCTTCTCTTGATTTTATTTTGCCGCCAAACAAGTGGGATTTTCATGGGATAGAGGGTATGGGGGGTTTAGACATGTGACCCTGGGCTGCCACAAGTGTCAACTATCACAAGTGCTTCTTCTTTTGTCAATATCTGCTTATGCCACTAGGCATCGCAGTTCATCTGATGATTGGCAGCCCAGCCTGGGCACGCTCAGTTGCTTGATATGCTGTGATGTTATGCAGTCTCAAATTGTCAGTGACTCCTTCAATCCATCTTCTCTGTCTTCCCCTGCCTCTTGATATTTTTATTTTCAGGTTGTACCCTCTTGTTGCTGGCATCATTGGTAGATGGCCAAACCATTTCATCCCCCCCCCCCCCCCCAAATAAATTTGACAATGGGTTTTGTTCCAACAGTTCTTGTGATCACGTTGTTTCTCACTCAGTGACTTTTGGTTTTATTTACAGCCATTTTCAAACATCTCATCTCACAGGTGGTTAGTGTTCTTTCATGTTCTTTTGTCAGTGTCCAAATCTGGCATTGGTCACCTAAAGGCGGTATGGATATTGTATTTATAATTTGTCTTTTTGTCACTATTGGGATAGCAGTATGCTTTAATATTGGAGCAGGTCGGTACGTGACACTGTTGGATTCTCATGTCTATTTCTCTGTCTATTTTACCAATGTGTGTAAAGGTGCTTCGCAAGTATTTAAATTCTTGTACTTGTTTCAGACTTTGATCCTTATGTTGATGGTTTGTTGCTCTCTACTTATTCTCATGAATTATTAATCTCTTGCTATCATATTTACAATAAATAGTGTCCCCAGATGTACTCAGATAGCTTAACTTGTTATCATTGAAAACTCTGCGGTTTCATCTTTTAAAACAGTTTATTTTCTTCCTTTTTATGTGTGTGTGTGTGTCAGCTTTATACTATCTTTTTTCATTCGGTCACAGTTTTGCTGTTGTTTTTTTTTTAAGTTTTGTTGTTGTTGGTGTATGTGCTATATGTATCCAAGTTTGTTGTCCTTGGTTTGATGTGCATTTATTTCCTTGACATGTATTCTGGTTTGTTTGATAATAATTTACAGCTTCTGGCAATAACAGTTATTGTAGTGGAAAGCTTTCTGCAAACTTCAACACTGCTAGAAAATTGTCTGTCTCCAGTTGATAAATTTTGAGTTTCGGGCCATTCATTTATTGGACTTCTAAATGTATTTCATTGTCAGATCCTGACAATTGAGAAAACTGGAGGATGTCATGACAGTGGGACAGTTGGAGCAGAGGAAAACTAAGGGGAGACCAAAAGAGAGAAGTTACTAAATTGGTTACTTTTATGCTGTGGTGGGTGATCTGTGTTAGAAACAATTACAAGTACACAAGACAGAAAAGGCTGGGAGCAGGTTACTACCAGTACCACAGGACATGAACTGTCAGGCTGGGAGCAGGTTACTACCAGTACCACAGGACATGAACTGTCAGGCTGGGAGCAGGTTACTACCAGTACCACAGGACATGAACTGTCAGGCTGGGAGCAGGTTACTACCAGTACCACAGGACATGAACTGTCAGGCTGGGAGCAGGTTACTACCAGTACCACAGGACATGAACTGTAAGGCTGGGAGCAGGTTACTACCAGTACCACAGGACATGAACTGTCAGGCTGGGAGCAGGTTACTACCAGTACCACAGGACATGAACTGTCAGGCTGGGAGCAGGTTACTACCAGTACCACAGGACATGAACTGTCAGGCTGGGAGCAGGTTACTACCTGTACCACAGGACATGAACTGTCAGGCTGGGAGCAGGTTACTCCCAGTACCACAGGACATGAACTGTCAGGCTGGGAGCAGGTTACTACCAGTACCACAGGACATGAACTGTCAGGCTGGGAGCAGGTTACTACCAGTACCACAGGACATGAACTGTCAGGCTGGGAGCAGGTTACTACCAGTACCACAGGACATGAACTGTCAGGCTGGGAGCAGGTTACTACCTGTACCACAGGACATGAACTGTCAGGCTGGGAGCAGGTTACTCCCAGTACCACAGGACATGAACTGTCAGGCTGGGAGCAGGTTACTACCAGTACCACAGGACATGAACTGTCAGGCTGGGAGCAGGTTACTACTAGTACCACAGGACATGAACTGTCAGGCTGGGAGCAGGTTACTACCAGTACCACAGGACATGAACTGTCAGGAGAATTCAAGCTTTGAAACTTTAGAACATGTCTTTTTCTCACATACCTGGCCCGAAGCAGACTTTAATATTTCTCTTGAATGTTTTGATAAAACTGATGTTGCTTAGACTAATTGATTGACCAGTTGAAGCTGTCTCTACTTGTCCAGCTGAAACTAGGTCTCTGTACCTTGGTGTTGTAGGTGTGGACTGACCTGAAACTTTCATGTTTCCTTCTTGTGTTATACCGCTGCTCATTTGGTTGATTTTCCCAAGCTGGTAATTAACATTAACATTCTTTTGCTGCATATGTGTGACCCATTAATTTGTCAGTTCATAAAGCACCAGACTGAATTATAATAGCTCATGCTAATTTTGCTCATTCATAATTCTTGCCAACCATTTGGAAAATTTACATAGAAAGGAAGTTGCTGTAGCCAGATCTTTATATTCTTCAAAAGTTTTAAAGTGATTAATACATCTGTACTTTCCCCATTGTTGAAATGTTGTGAAATTGTAGGAACTGAAAGCTGGTGTCTGTACAATACCTGTGCTTCTCTATCTTGCTCTATTTAAATTAGGTGTATATTAAATAACTGAACTGAAATCTGGTGTCTGTACAATACCTATGCTTCTCTATCTTGCTCTATTTAAATTAGGTGTATATTAAATAACTGAACTGAAATCTGGAGCAGTGACATGGCTGAAGGCCTAGTGCTGACACCAAGGCTGCTGCAACTCCACATGAATTCTATTTCCTGGACACAACCAGTGGTGATCGTGAACACAAGTACTATGTGTGATGAGATGTTGATCTGCAGTTTTTTCACTGTCTAATGACAGGAATGGGAATTCCAAACTACAGTCACTGATTAATGTCTCCTTCAGCAGTTGATTCATGCTGGATTAATTTTTGGCTTCGCTATGGTTTTCAGGAAATTTTCAAGGAAGACATGTCTTCAGGCATGAAAATAACACATCATTTTATGGTCGCAAACCCCCCCCCCCCCCCCCCCTCTTTAAAAAAAGTGCTACCAGTTTAACGTGGGGTTAATCTCTGATTAAGCAACACTTTGCAAGTGACATTCTGCTCTGTAATAAAAGTTAAGACCCCTTTTGCATTGGTGATGCATCAAGCATATGAACTCATATTTTTTATTGACCAATAGGCTGTCGGTTGATTGATGTCACCATTTTGCCAGCTGCTTTTACTTCCCAGGACTGTTTTATAGGAAACTGAAATTAATCCGTCAGTATATATAGCAATGATAAAAATTAAATAGAAGTAAGTAACTCACCTCAGTACATAGTCATTTCTGTTTGGCTAGTATCTAGATATTTCTGAGTAAATTTTTAAACCCTACACTCTTGTATATTGTGGGTTATTTCCTGATTCTTTGTTTAAATATACTTGTTAGTTTTTAATCAGCACTGCATTTTTTTGTTCATGCCACTTAATGATGTCCCTGCTACAAAAACATCAGGGAGGAAGAAAAGCAATTCTGTTATGTCTTCATGTTTTGTAATATCCATATTTTTGGTCGGTTGACTACATAAACTGACAGGCAGCTCTTGTAGATTATTTTGTAAATATTTGGTTATTATGTCACTTTGTTGTTTTCTTTAATTATGCTGACTTCATTATATAACCTCATGCTCTTCACTGTAGCATCATTCCTGATTTGA